CTCTCCCCCCTCCCCCCCTCCCACTCCTCCAGGGATGTGTTTTATTGATACCTGCGGGAGCGCTGAATCGATTTCTCGCGCAAGCAAAGGAGCGTGAGGTTTCGAGGAGCGATTCCGGCATGGCACGACACAGACTCATCGGGGATAGGGCCATAAAGGGATTTCCAGTTTGATTCGTTTTGACAGTTAGCCTGCTAATTTTGACTCGTTTGCCAGTTGGCTGTCATGCATCAGAAAGGATGCTTGGTTTACTGCTTGTGTTGTACAGATGACTCTGGTCCAAATCCTCTGAATGTAATGGACAGCTTTCTACTGATTTCAATGAGCTCTGGATCTATCATTATAGAAGTATCCTGCTTTGCATGGAGTACTCGTTATTCTCCACACGTCATCTGAGAAGAGAAAAAGCGTCCTTCTTTGCTATAACTGGGACACAAAGAAAGTCTAGGTTCATGCGGCAATAAAAGGCCAGTCATTTACCCGTTCCCTTTGGAATCTTGCAGAAACGCCTGATATCTCGATTGCTTAAAACAGGCAAATTAAGGCAAAACTTAAAACTGAAGGCTAGGAATGGAGCAACGAGGAGAGTTTCCAAAACCAGATGGGGGAATTAGAATATGTCAATATTTTTAAAATTTTATTTCTCTTTCAGGCTCTGTTGCAAAATGTGAAAATGAAGGGGAAGTTCTACAGATACCATTTATCACAGACAACCCTTGTATAATGTGCGTTTGCCTGGTAAGTTTGAATTTCAGATAATAAGAACATTCAGTCCTGCACTAAGAGTAACTGCACAAAGAGGGGAATATTTTACCTAATCAAATCTTGGGTACCTCTGTTGCCTTTATGTAACACAGGGTTATCTCAGTGCTGAGCTAATGGAAAGTAATCCAACCCATGATCTGGCAATCGTTTCTTTGACTTTAAAAGTCTCAGGCGCAAAGTTATACATGACTTTAAGCATGACATTGTGAAACTACATTTATCACGTGAATTCAGGGTGAGAACTGTTTTCACAAAGTCAGAGGGGCTCTGGCACGCAAAAGTCTTTGCATATAGCTCAGCAAAGAGGGTGAAAGGTAGAGGTTTGGGAAATGCTGCTGCTTCTAACTTCGACAAGCTTGGTGTCACATGCCGATGGCTGTGGAACAGGCACGAGGGGCCACGGTGCAGGCTGCGATGGGACTGTATGCGCTGCAATAAGAAGAGAGTGGAAGCACAAGTGATGCTTTTATCAAAGTGCTTTATTCCAAGGATGACACTGCCTCTTGTGCTGGGAATTCAGCAGTTAATAGTGTCGTTGGTTGATACACATTTCTGGGAGAAATATTCTGCCAGAATGCTTCAGAGTTAAGCATTTTGGAAGCAATTCAGCTTGGGAAGCCAAGGCTTAGGAGTTATTGAAAAATAGTTGTTCTAAATAAAATTTTGCACAGTATATTTAAAAGAAAGCCATAAACCTTAATTTGCTGTTGAACGTGAAGAAAAGCGTAGACATAAATCACTACATTTTACGTTTTGGAAGTTACAGAATAGCTGAATCTACAGAATGTTTTCTGCTTTAGGATCGAAATATCAGGAACCCCAATTCTATTACTGCTATTGATAGTATTAGCATTTCTAGAAAGCCATCACTATTTTAACTCTATAAAAGAGTTAAAGAATTGTTTCAGGCTGCCTTTAGAAGGCGATTTTGGCAACTGTAGGAATGAACCACAGTGAACCTGATCTTAAGCCTGCTGAAGTTGATGGATGTCACCACACTGACTTCAGTAGATTTTAAGTGAGACTCGGTGATAACTTTTTAGCTAATAGTGATAAAGAATAAGTTATTGATTCTTCTGAGTAGAAAGGGATGGGAAAAGGAGGGGAATGGGATGTGGTGAGTAAAGAAATCAAAGGGAAAAGAAGAAAAGAAATGAAGCTGTGTTTTATCATGGATCACCTTCCTAAATATGTCTGCCACCACTCTTGCTAATGGAAGCTGGTGTTAACCAGCAAGGAAGCAATTTATCTGTGAAGGAGCAGAAGTTCAGTCTTGGGCATCAGGGCAATAATGCATCAGGGTAAAATACTTATATTTATAGATCTCTCTAGACCTTGACTTATTAAATCAATGGGCACCCTTTTAGCGTATGAACATGAAGAACTGCAAAAAACATGGCATGTAAGAAATCTATGTGGCTTGAAGGGCTTACTTTAAGGAACCAGCAAATGAGGACGTTTGGTTCCCTTCTATGCGCGTAGGATACTACATGCTATTAAGAATGTGAATGCCTAGGGAGCAACTGCAGTTACCTGCACTGGATGCGCTCTGTTTTATTTCTGCCAAAGGATAAAAGCGATCTCTGTTTCTTGAGATGGAGGCTGGGAGACTTGGTAGAGGAGAAGGAAATCCATCTGGAGATACTGACTTTAACATTGTGCAGCATCCAAAGCAATGACTTATTGGACAGCCAGTTTCTGAAATCTTTGTCAGGCCTGCCGCAAGGGAGAAGGTCAATTATAAGAGGTCTGGGGAGAGCAGAAACAAAAGAAGCAATGTGGTGACTTGTGACCAGGAGGGGAAAACGAACCAGGTTTCCTTGTATCCAGCTAGAAATATTGAATGTTTAATAGCCATGCAGTGAGGAACATTCTCTGGAAGGCTGATCATACTCTACAAAGGCAAACCTGATGGATGTTCGTATAGTAAGGAGTGAACAACTAACAAGAGAGCTTAATCAGCTGTTCCAGGAAGGAAGCAATTGCTGTCCAAGCATGAACAGAAACTTCAACAAAGGGCACTTGTGTTAGAAACAACAGTAAAACAAGTAACTGAATCATTGGATTGGATTATGACAGATTTCCCCTAGCGGTAATACATTTAGCACAAATGCAAACTGTCATAAAGAACTGTACAAGTTACAGGAATCTAAATGGCCCTGGAAAGAGGAGGAATATCTAAATAACATCCTTCCACGTCTTTCCTATCTTGCAAATGAGAGAAGACAGAACTGAAATGCTAGAACTGAATCCTCAAGCGTTTGACAGAGCTGATGCTGGGGGCTGTGTCCTGCGGAGCGCAGGGACACATCGCAGCAAGGGAGGGAGAGGGAAGCAGCATGAGCAAAGCAGTCTTCCGCTCACAGCTTCTCTCCCCTGGCCGCATCAGTCGGGAGGGCAAAGCAAGGGGTGATGCTCCAAGAGGAGGTGTGGTAAAAATGAGCAACTCACAGGTCACAAACAAGTTGCAGTAATGCAACAAAGACTGCAAAGAACAATTATTAATGCAATTTCTTACACTCCACTGAGAAGTCTTAGTAAAAACACCAAAACCAAAAGCTGCCTCTTCTTATTGGTTGACAGGGTAGACTGATTTTCATGATAATGATTAAGAACAAAGTAGATAAAACAGACCCTGGGTTCAGGGGGTGCTGCTTTATATGAAAGGTTCTGTTTCCTCTTTTCGAGTTATCGGCACCACAGAACTCTGAATCTCAGATACAAAAGGGACGCTGATGGGGATCTTCTAGAGACAGCCAAGTCTAACTAGCAAGCAAGATGAGTTCATGCGCATCTGCTGTAATGTGTGGAAAGAGATGTTGCGATATGGGAATTCAGGCTGGGTGACATGTGCTGGAGATTTCATGTAGCACATAGTAAATCATTCACTTCTAAAGTATAGGTAATGCTTTTCTAATAAAAAAGGCACTTCACCCACTATGAGATAACTCTATTTTGGACCTCCCTACTTGTTAAACTGAAATTCACTGGAGTATGCAGAACAGCACTGATGTTTGCTCTTAGTATAAGGAAACAGAGGTAAGACTAAGTGCTTGTGTGCGTGCGTGTGTGTAAGTGTAAACGTACACTGAAGCTCTGTATGTGAGAACTGCAGCAGAGCAAGCCACTATGGATAATGTTGGATTTTGCATTGTATGATGCTTTCAAGTGATGAGAGTATGCTTTAATTAGACATATGCTTTAGTTATGAATGTGTGATTCAGCACCGAAGTAATAGGGTGAAAGTCTTGGCTAGTGATACAGAGAAAGTCAGACAAGAGTGTCCATTGAACCCTCTGGTGTTAAACTTCTGTGAATCTACACCACCTAAAAATATTTGCTGATAGTAAACATAAGAACTAACAAAGTCTCTGCAGGATTTTACCTTTTACTTAGGACTGATAAAACTCCTTTTGCTTTTTCTTTTTGGATGGGATTACTCATTATTATAAGTTTTGACAGGATCAAAATTTAGAGATCCCTAATTTGTATTTTATACATCTCCAATTTATGGTCATAATGATGACCATAAAAGTGGTCATTTTAAACATCTATAAGCAAATGGTTTTGCTGTGAGCTTTTACAACTATAACACTTTAGCAATTCTATATTGCTTTCCACCTAATCATCTCTAAGCACTTGTTAAACATGGATGAATTTGATCTCCAAAGAACTGATCATTAATTGCAGCTGACCACAAGAAGTGACGATTTGCATTGCAGAGGAAAACATCAAAGTCACAGAGAGATAGATTGTGGTTTATCCGCAAGAAATTCCTTGTAGGACTGTGATGAAAGCTCAGGCCTCCTAATTCCTGGTCTAATGGTTTAACAACAAAAAAACATCCCTTTTCACTTCACTAACATATGCTTTATGAGTGGATGTGTGTAGTATAGTCACAGTATTAACGCATTCATTTTCTTTTTGTCTCTCTCTGACAGTGGGCAGACTGCACAGATCCAGGTTTTTTGGAGCTAAACTTGTTCTAAGACATAGATGGGCAAAGGCAGATTAAGCTGACTTTATGATCCAGAGGTTTTGAGAACTGTGATTATAACTTGCTGTTGCTATCTGAAAAATGATGTTAGGGCTAGAGTGCTTTGGTCTTCTGCCCACTTTCACTTTGGGGGTGTGTGTGGTTCTGCATCTCCAAGGAGACTCGCTCTCTCTGGAAAAAATCCTGAGTTTCCACAGGACTTGGGACACAGGCATAGCACAAAGCAGGCTGAAGCTAACTGGAAGTACCTATTTTCTGTTAAACACAGAAGCTGGAGAAAGCACCGGCATTCTTAATACTTAGAGCTAGTGGTTAAAATGGAAAGATAGACAATGTTTCGCTCAAAAATTGTTATTCTGAATTCAGGCCACATAAAAATTGCAGGTAGGCCTATTTATGAAGTGCCAGTGCGGTGTACTGTAGTGGACTGGTCCATTTCAGCCATGGTTATAGCCAAGGACTTCTCTGAGTAAGGGGTGGAAAAGACTCCATCTAACAGGCAGTGAGCTCCTTAGCAAGGGAAGGTACCCAGCTGAACAGAAACGTCACATGTGACAGGTCGTGGCAAGGATTAAATACACCAACTCTGTGAAGAAAAGTGCTGTTATCAAAAAAAGGAAAGTATTATCTCAGGTAAGGATGTGACCCTTGGTGATACAAAAAATATTTGTAGAACATGTTACGGAATATGACTGTAAAATTATTTTGTGTTAATTTAGTGGTCAGTAATAAGAAGATCTAATGTCCTGCTGGATTGTGAAAATCAAAGCAGTGAAACTGTGTGGGTTATGAAGTTGAATGAGAAAAATTTGTGTTTTAAAGAACTTTTCTGAATTGGCATGGTGATTACAGGTAAAGATATATAATCTTCATAGCATTCGTAAGGGAATTATGTTGGTTCAGTCTGAGAAACTGGTTCTTTTATTCCAGTTATTAAATGCTTTAAGACCACCAGGGATTATAACTGTACTACCTA